GCTATGGAATCACAGAATTAATTCCAGATTCTTTATCTGCCACCCTCTATTGCCCCAGCCCTGGTCATCTTCCTGAGCCTTAATTCCTGTCATTGCTGTCTTGGTACTTAATGCTCCGGTGATAGCAAACAGCTTGTTTCATGTCTCTGGACTTTTGCTGTGCTCTCTGCATCTAATGCTCTTCCTTAACTTTGATTTTTAGCCTCATTATTTCTTCAAGGACTAGCTCAGGTATCTCTTCTGCATGCTTTGCCCAAACTGACATGGTTGAGTTAAGCAATATTGGCTCTCATATATTGCATTTATTCATTCATTCAGCAAATATTTGTTGAGTTTCCTTTCTTAGTACAGGGGATACAACAGTGAACAAAATATATAAAGACCTTCCTTTCATGTAGCTTCCTGTCTATTGAGGGAGCCAGCCAGTGAATATAATTGTACAGTTACTTATATAATTACAGCTGTGGTAAGGATTATACTTCTGTGTTCTATTTATTATATTATGTAGAAAGTGTTTATTTATTGATCTATCTCACCTATTAAGCAGACTTTGTTGAGAGTAGGAATCATATCTGATTTATCTTTCTAGCCCCAGCACTTAACCGTGGTGCCTGGGCTCATAGAAATGTAGTAATCACTTTAGTAATCTTATCAATAATGGGATCTCAGGCACCATACTTGGCTTAGACTGGGAGGGAACAAGGAGAGTGTCAGGGACAAGAGCAAAGGCTTGCTGAGGGTGTGATACATGATCTGGGTCTTGAAGGATACAGATATTCCTATCATCTTCAAAAACAGATTTTTTAGACTGCTTCAGTAATGTACTGCTTTGTAAATAGTCATTGTATCGGTTGGCTATTTGGCTCCTGCTTGGTATCATCATTAGTAGTTTACTTTGTTTTTGTTCTTCTACTTTATCCTCTGCTTAGTTGGCTGCAGTTACAGAGATAATTTTTTATTTATTGGTTGGGATGACTATTTTTATTTCAACCCACCTTTCACCTGTGGCTACTAAGTAAGCCAGTGTTTTTCAGGCATTAATCTTAGAGATCTTGTTAAAATGTAGATCCTGACTCAGTAGTTCGAGGATGGAGCTTGAGGTCCTGAATTTCTAATTTGTAAATGGTATCGTGCTCTTCATATCATCCTGCAATTTGCTTTTTCTCTTTGATGTTATGTTTTTAAAATATATCTGTGTTCAAGAGACAATTAGAAAGTCAGTGTTCATTGATAGCCACAATATATCATTCTCTTATAAATGAAGATTTAGATAGTATCTCATAAATAATACTGTAATGAATATTCTTGAAAATATCATCTTGTGCACATGTATGAGAATGTATTTAGGGATAGTCTTTTCTACTCTAGTATTTGTTTTTATTTTTCCACTACTGTAATCATGCCTTGTATTTATGGCTATATACCATAATTTACTTAACCATTCTCCCATTATTAGACATTTATATTATAACTTTCATGCTATGATGAACATCTTTGTATACAAAGCTTTTAAATATTTAGGTTTATTTTCTTAAGTTAGATTCTCAGGAGGGAAGTAACTTAGACAAAGTGTAACATTTTAAAGGTTCAGTTGCCACATTTCTTTCCAGGTATTGTGCCATCCCGCTAACACACTTAGCTTCTTAAGACTCAGAGAATTGTGTTTTTTCTGCCTTCCATTTTAGGCCATTGCGAACCAACCCTGGGCTCAGAAACTTATGTTTAATAGTCCAGGTTTTGTAGAATATGTGATGGACCGGTCTGTGGAGCGTGACAAAGCTTCAAAGGATGCCAAATATGAACTGGTGAAAGCACTTGCCAATTCTAAGACAATTGCAGAAATCTTTGGGAACCCAAATTATTTGAGGCTCAGAACTTACCTAAGCGAAGGTCCATACTATGTGAAACCTGTTTCCACAACAGCAGTAGAAGGAGCTGAATGATTTCTTCTAGAGTGTGATATAGAGGACCATGTTTTGACCAGAATGCCTCCTAAGGCATTTGACTCCAGAATTATCATGGAGTGTCTAATATAACTTTATCACCAACATTGTTGTATTTCTACATTGAAATACAAAGTGGAACCAGGAGTTTGGAATACATTAAGAGCAGGAAAACTTGGTCATAATAAAACCAATGTTTTTCAGTTTCCTTTGACTGTCTTAATCTTTGCAACAAGATGTAAGTTTTGTTCTTCTCTCAGAAAATTTTTATGGACATAAAGTCTTATTTAAAAAAATCTACTTCAAATAAAGTGGAACAAATTGTTTCCAAATTCTCTTCACTACCTTTTTTTCTTTTTGGTCCTTTTTCACTTTCTGATTCTACTTTCAAAGTCTTGGATATATTCTTTAAAAAATGAGTAGTATGGAATCTTAAAATTATGTTCTCTATACTAAGAATAAATTCTTTTTATAAGGTCTTTTGATTTTGTTGTTACTATTATTCTTTTGAAAAATAAACAAAATCTCTAAAAAATGTTTATAATGTTCATTTGATGCCTTTTTTTGGTCTTTTTCAATGAATTTTACCCTGTTTTGGTGGTTTGGGAGAAGAGAAGGTGATAACATGCTAACTAGAAAGGTTCTTAAGCTGTCATTTTATTTCTTGGTGTGTTTTTACCTTTAATTTTTCATATCAATTAAGTCACTTTTTTTTTTTTAAGAGACAGGGTCTCGCTCTGTTGCCCAGGCTGTAGCATAGTGGTGTAGTCATATCTCATTGCATCCTTGAGCTCAAGCAATTCTCCCACCTCAGCCTCCCAAGTAGCTGGGACTATAGGTGTGTGCCACCATACCCAGGTAGGTTTTTATTTATTTTTAGAGATGGGGTCTTACTATGTTGTCGAGGCTGGTCTCAAACTCCAAGCCTCAAGCAATCCTCCTGCCTCAGCCTCCTGAAGCACTGGGACTACAGATGTGAGCCACCCTGCCCAGCCTCATAAAGTCAATCTTGAATTAATTAGAGAGAGGGAAACTTACTCCTGTTAACCAGAGTCAGAACAAGAGGGACAATATGTATAAACCAGGACGTTATCTCATTAATTTACAAAGGATAATCCTTCACTGACAAAAACTATATCCACCTCTGCACACCTATACCAGTTCAGAGGTTTTTGTGTGAACATGTCAGAGTGACATGTTCAGAATTGAGAGATATTTCTTTCAGGCCATGATATAGTTGATAAACCATCCCTTCTCTGTAACAGAATCATTCTGAAGTGACTGGAATTATCTGATCCCAAGATTGATCATCTTTCCTCTGCTATCTCTAGTAACTGAATCTCCTTTTTTTCTGTTTCAATATTGGCTTTTTCCCTACTCTTAATATCACTAATTAGGCCAGGTCTTCATGGCCTGAGAGATACTCTATTTCTTTAAAATGACTTTTGCTTTAGTCTCATTTATGATGTTGATTTTTTTCAATGTGTTAAAATATACATGACATGAAATTTGCCATCTTAACCATTTTTAGGTATATATTTCAGTGGTATTAAATATGTTCATAACATTATACAACCATCTAAGAAATTCTTTTCGCCTTTAAAACTGAAACTCTGTACCCACTAAGTAATTAAACCCAATTCCCTCTTCCCCAGCTCCTGGCAACTAGCATTCTACTTCATGATGTTGATTTTATTCATTTTCTTTTTTTGTTGGGGGGGACAGACTCTCACTCTGTTGCCTGGGCTAGAGTGCCATGGCGTCAGCCCGACTCACAGCAACCTCAAACTCCTGGGCTCAAGCAATCCTTCTGCCTCAGCCTCCAGTGTACTGTGTTTCCCCGAAAATAAGACCTACCTATAAAATAAGCCCTAGCAGGATTTTTAAGCATTTGCGCAATGTAAGCCCTAACCTGAAAATAAGACCTAGTGATGGGCGTGGCTACGCAGTGTATCTGCACAATCCCTGCATTTCGTTGAGGAGTAGTAAAGAAGATAATCAGCCCTTCTCATCTGCTCCATGAGAGCTCTGAGATTGCTCGACGTGAGAGATTGGGGCCAATGGTTCTAAAGGAAATAGAGTTGCAAGAAATACAGGATGGAATTCGGGATTTGGAGAGTTATGATGATGTTCCAGAAGACGACAACTTAACTATATTTGAATAAATGTAGATTGTTGTACTGTACTTAAAAAAAAAAATAACACATCCCCTGAAAATAAGCCCTAGGGTGTCTTCTTGAGGAAAAATAAATATAAGACCCTGTCTTATTTTTGGGGAAACACAGTACCTGGGACTACAGGCATGTGCCACTATGCCCAGCTAATTTTTTTCTATATATATTTTTAGTTGGCCAATTAATTTCTTTCTGTTTTTAGTAGAGACAGGGTCTCACTCTTGCTCAGGCTGGTTTCGAACTCCTGACCTTGAGTGATCCTCCCACCTTGGCCTCCCAGAGTGCTAGGATTACAGGCATGAGCCACCACACCTGGCCGATTTTATTCATTTAACATCAGAGTTCAAAGGGATGCCCTCTCCTTTGTATCTTGATTATAATTGCTCATTCAAATATACTACCAAAAGTTAAATCGTGTTCCTGTCAATGCCCTCTTGCCAAGACCACCAGGACTATAACTATTGTCAAAGAAGGTGTTATAAATTGTAGTAAGAAATATGATGACAAACCATAAAATAAGTAAGTAAATAAATAAATTTCTGAGTAGATAATTGAGATCCCTGTCCTACACAAGGCCAGCCTGACAAGTCTGGGAAAGGCAGTTGTCTTATCTAATGCACAGAAAGAATCAAGGGAAATAAACAGAAAAATATATTCTGAATAAAAGACGAAGATAATTCTACAGAAACTAACCCAAGTGAATGGGAGATAATGTGCTTTAACTGAGCAATTCAAAATAATGGAAATAAAGATGCTCACCAAGGTCAAAAGAGAAATGCAAAAGCAAACTGAAAACTTCAACAAGGAGACAGAAAGTATAAAAAAGTACCAAACGAATATCATAAATCTGAAGAATACTGTAGTGGAAGTAAAAATTCAATAGAGGGGTTTAATAGCAGACTAGATCAAGCAGAAAAAGGAACAGTGAACAGTTGAGGAACACTTGAGGAATAAGGTCAGGAGATCTTTTGTACATTATGGTCATGGCAGTTAGTAGCAATATATATTTGAAAATCGCTAGGAGAATAGATTTTAAGAGTTCTCACTATAAAACCAAAAAAAAAAAAAGATAATGTGAGGTCATGCATATGTTAAAGAGCTTGATTTAGCTGTTGCAGAATGTATACATATATCAAAACATCACATTGTATACCATAAATAAAAACAATTTTTACTTGTCAGTTGAAAAAAGATATGGTTATAATGAAATGTAATGTTCTCTTCTGAAAGAAATGTTTTATTTTGAAAAGAATCATGCTACACCAACTTAAATTTCTTAAAATGGGTTCTAAATAAGATTGAGCACATCAGAGCACTAAGAACATTTTGTACCTTTGCTAAGTATGATTAAAGATTCAGGGAAACTACATAAAACATGCTTTCTATAACAGGGTAGAAAGTAATTTTAAAATAATAGATTCATAAGGAAAATCAAATTCTAATCAGCAAGATACATGACATTGTTTTTTATGGTGTCCATGTGAAAATGTTTAAAGCTGTCAATGTATGTCAGAAGTTTGCAGGAAATGAGCCCATAGTAAGTCTCAAACAGTGTACATTCTTTCCCATCATTAATTTCCTTCCATGCCAGGGGCATTTCAGCATCTGCAGTTTCTGAGGATGTAAAAATGAACTTATAGCAACATCTGTTGTATCTGATGTGCCTTTTCCCAGAAAACCTTGAACTGTGGATGGGTATAAGACCAATGGACTTAGCACAGATTCCTACAAACACATCAGCAGGCACCATAATGGGTACTTCTTTGAAAACCACATACATCATCCGAGCCACATCTTGGGATATTATAAAGGCTTCACCACTGCAGTAATCTGGATAGTATTTTTCTGGGTACTCACTAAGAGGGACAAATTCTTGGCTACGAGGATCTCTGTTGGGTGTAACCTGATGGATAACTCTTCCTACATAGATATCTTCGAGGTGTTCTTTCAGATTGAGAAGATAGTCTACCAAGCTTGGTAGATTGACAAACATCTCTTCATCCACCTTGAGAATGAACAGGGCATTAGGGCAGAAAGTCACAGCCCACTGTGTCATTGCGATGATCTTCAGGGTTTGGTTCTCAGAACTGTCTAAGAAGATTCCTTCAATGATGTCATTATTCTTATGGGACTCCTTGTCTATCTCTTTCTGAGTAGGTACCAAAACAGGCATTCCCAAAGCAAACAATGTGAGAATGGGGTGCCCTTGGACACTGGTCACATTACCCCAGGTTTTCCTGATGAGGTCCCGTCTTGTTCCATTTCCTGGGCTACTGAAGATAAGAGAGAGCAAAAAAATGTTCTTCCCTTTACATATCTCTGGCTGGCTCAGGACATAACATTTGGAGAGATTACTTCTTAGGGGCTCCATGTTCAATTTTCTTGCCTTATCCTTAATTTCAAGAACTTTCATATCTATGTAAGGCAAAGAATGCAGAAAGTATTCTTCCACAAAGTCAGCCCCAAAAAGCAAGGCGTGAAATAGGATGACATTAAATAGAATGAAACACCACTGGTGAGTCCGAAGTCTGCAGAAAGTTACCTAAATAAGAAAGGGACACATGTTCACTCAAGCTTCATCTCCATTCCTGTTTTGTTTCCCATTGAACCCTATTTGGACCTCATACAGCACCTTGTATTATACTCTATTTTAAGTGTTCTTTATTCTTTATTGTTATTATCTATCTCTTCCACTAGATTGTGTTCTGGACAGCAGGCATCATATCTCTATCTTCTCAAATGCTGCTGATTCCAGTGTTTGACACAAAGTGAACATTGAGCAAAATGTTACTCGGTTGTTTTCTTGGTTGTTTGGATTAAAGCCTACTTACTATATACATGGCATTGTGTTAGACACTGGGAATACAAAAAAGAATCAGACACAGACACATAGATATAATGTAATAAGTGGTATCATTGTGATAAAGACCTATAGGAAACCTATATGATGTTCTTTCTTGGACTGAAGCACTTGGATCAGTTTCTTCTCTAATTACAAAGGTCAAGGGCTATTTTTCCATGAAGTGGTTGCTTTTGTTGGCACACTGCTATTATCAAACATTTAAATTCTTGTAGCATGACTTTCCAAATTCAGCCTAATAGTGAATCAGTCTTTGTTGACAGTGTCTCTTAATTTACCTGACATGTCTGTCAATATGAAGCACCTCTTCAGATATCTAGGATGGACTTATGCCAAACTTACTTCACCTCATTAAAGCAGATGGAAATTTTCTGTCTTGCTGGGCATATGCAGAATTGCAATATGACAGAGCTAGGACAAAGCTAGGAATTTAATTCATTTAATATTAAATGAATTAAATTCCTATTCATTGGAACTTCGATCAACAAAGTAACAATAGGTAACTCTTATTGAGCATTTGCTGTGTGCTAAGCACTATGCTAAGCACTTTACATATCCTAACTCATTTAGCCTGGTAATATCCCTTTTAGAGGTTATCTTCAAAATTAAGCTCAGCATCTGAATGCTTTAGTAATTTTCCCAAGATCATATAGTGGGTAAGGAGTCGGGGTAGGGCCATGATTTGAAACTCTGTCAGATTAAAGCTCGCTCTTAACCCCTGGAGAATTCTAACTCCTATTTTTACTCTTACATGTCCTTTGAATAGTAAAAAACCATAAAACAAATGCCAGCAATTATAATCTAAATTCCTTTCCTTTTTCTCACTGCTAATGATTTACACATAGGAGAAACTTTCTTCTTTCTCAAAGTCTATTTTAGTATATCAAATGCTTCAAAGATTATAAGAAACCCACCTGCATGTTGTCTGCAAGCAATTTCAGGGCCTTGGAAGTTACTGGGTCCAGATGCCAAGCTATGCCCAAATGTATCTCAGGATCACTCCAGTCTAACGGCAAGTGCAGTAAAGTACTCTGTTCCTCAGACTTTAAGGATAAGGTTTCTTGCCAATCAACCTGAGCTTTTGTCCCAGAATACCTGCTGACTGCATAGGAGAGTGGGTGCTGATCTTGTTACAGCTCGAGTGAATCCAGAACAAAGAATAGAAAAAGCAAACCTCTTCAAATGCTTCCAACCTTGAAACTGACCTCTTGAAACTGACCCCTTGTCTTTGTGCTGAGTTCCTGGTAAAGTATGTATGGGAGTTCAAAGGACAGTTACTCACATCACCTCTCACAGCATCATTACACAAAGAGAAATATATAGTGGTTTTTTGTGTGCATCTCAAGAAACTAAACTGTTGGCGTAATGCCTGCTTCCTGGTACATGCATATGCAAAAACTGTTCTAAACATCACATCAAGGAATATTTGTCATCTCTAGTAGGTGCAACTTTTTTCTTCCTAAAGAAACATACATGGTAAGGTCTGGTGTACGTCTCATTGGGAAGGATTTGGAATTCCTGGTGTAAGCTATGTAAGAACTTTATCAAATCAATTGTAAGTCATCCAACTCCTCCCCCACGCAAGTTTATCTCAAAAGAGAAAACAACTTATAGTCCATTTTAGCCTAAATTGAAGAAACTAAGCATTTGATGTTCACTGTTTTCCTGGAGCATGTATGTGTTGAAATTATTAAACACCATTCTATCAGCAAGTTTATTTTAAGAAAAGAAACAACAGTCAGCATATTTTCATGTTCCTGTCACATAAGTAGTTACACTGAGTATTCTGTTCTCATGGCAGGCTATATTTCATCTTTTTCCTTTACATGTTTAACTTCCTACTAGTTTTGTGATTATTTGGCTAGGAATAACTCCTTACAATTAAATTTGGCTATGTTTTCTCAACAATCATGATGCAATCTTGGAAATTCTTACAAAGTGGGAAAATCTAACCTCAAAAAATTGAAATGCAAGGGAATTAAAAAATTTTTATTATAAACATGCTAAATTTAACAAATAGATCTTGTATTTAATTAAACATCACTTCTAGTTTGCAATTAAAATTTTTTTAATAGTTATGGATTGTGCTCTTGGATCTTCTCTGGCCTTAAATTTACACAATTTAGTTTCTTTATGAGAGGTTCAAACAATATTATCTCTGGGGAAGCTCCATTTAGTCTTTTCCATTTAATTTATCAAGCTCCTCCCCTACTATATTTGAGACTGTCTGCTGCAAAGAAATATGGATACTTGCTTTTCTTGATTACCCTGATACTGCCTTCCCTTTCTTAGAAGTTATCCAATCTGTGTATCCATGTCTTCCTAAATGCCTTATAATGTTATTAATCACTCTCTGGCTTAGAATTCTATAGTAGCTTCTAAATGCCTAACAAATTAAATTTTCTCTCTTGAGATTAGACTTTTAGGACACCATACTTGACTTCTACCCCAGATAATCAATTTTGTTTCCCACATTTCAAATACCCTAGTTAGAGTCTGGATGCTTGGAAACTTGACCATGCTCTACCATTAACTGGATATGTGCCTGTCAACATTGTTGTCTATGTGTTATGTCTATATCATTGGACTGTGCTAGTCAATATGGTAGCCAGGAGCCACGTGTGGCTATTTAAATTAAAATTAAATAAAATTAAGATTTTAGGTCTTCTGTTACATTAGATACTTTTCAAGTGTTTCATAGCCCAAGAGCCTCGTGACTGCCTCATTGGATAGCTCCAGGAGAGAACATTTCCATTATTGCTGAAAGTCTTATTGGACAATTCTGGCATAAGATACATGTGAATGTGTGTGTATATGTGTGTGTATATACTTGAGGTTTATGAGCCAATACAGAATGACAAAAATATGCTCTGAACTTAGTTTGGATTGAAATCCTATGACAGATATTAATTATGCCCTTAGGCAAATAACTGAACCTCTTTTGAGCTCAGTCTCCTCATCTCTAAAAATGGGGCTAATAATAATAACTACCTCATAGGGCTGTTGTGTGAATTGAGTGAAATGATACATATAAAGTGTTTAGAAGAATGCGTGGGATTTAGCGCAGTTTTAGTTATTGCCGATAACAGATTTGCGCGCTTCATCTCCTTCAGTCCTCAGAACCATCACATGAGGATGGGACTCTAATTGTTATACAGATGAGAAAAATAGTCTCAAAGGTTCAGTAACCAGGCCAGAGACACAGGCAGAGAGTGTAAATGCTGTGATTCAAGTATGCATCATCTATCTTTTTTCGTTCACCAACCCCCTTACTTTGCTTTTTCTCCTTAGCACCCACAAAGGGTTGCACCATTCCTTGCTTAGTTATTTATCTGACTTCCTCTTCCCAACAGATGTAAACCCCGGGTGGTCAGGGATTTTTGTGTTTTTGTTCTCTAGCCCTATCCCCTAGAACAGTGTTTGGGATACAATAGGTGCTCAATGGATTATATGAATTTGGACATGTCTCTCAACTTCTCTGAGCCTCTCCGCTGTAAAGGGAGGATAACAAGAAAAACTGCCGCAGCGTCGGTGCAAGATCAGAGTGGAAGAGGGACCTAACTGTCCTGAGCAAATCCGGACAAACGGTATGAAAGAAAGCTTTGGTCGAGTATTCACCACGTCTAAGCGACATGAGACTCTTACTGCGCGTGCTCCGCCTCCCTCTAGTCTGTCTTCCCCACCCCTCGCCTCCCACATCCCCCTCCGGGCGGGGGCCGGAAGTGCAGCCGCTTCCTCCAGGCGCCGCGGGGCGGAGGGACGCGCGGAGATGACGCAGACGGCACCGGAAGCCGCTCCCCTGTGAGGCTGCGGGCTGGGAGCGGCGGCCGTAGGTCTAGGTCTGTATGCGAGGCGGGGCCGGTCGGGGAGGGGGCTCTCGGGCGCCCGCGCTCTGCTGACCCGCCGCGCCTCGGGCTGTTTGTCTTTCTCTCCCTGCAGGCGCCATGGCTGCGGAGCGGACCCGGCCGCTGCGAGGCTCTGGCGGCCCGAGCGCACCTAGTCGGTGTGAGCCCGGCGCGAGGTCCCGGGCCCCGGGGCGCTCGCTCAGGTCAGTGCCGCACGGGACACGGCTCAGGGAGCGAGGGACCTGGGAGCGACGAACGGGTTGAAGGGACCTGGAGTTCATTTTAGAGATGGGAAAATAGGGTTTCAGAGTGACTACCTTCTAGTGCCTCAGTTTCCTTAGCTGCAAAATGAGTTAACGATGTCCCAAGGCTGCCATGAGTCTGAAAGATGATGAAGTGTGGTGAGGTGATTGTGAAGTACAAAGTGCTGTACTACAGTGTAAGGGACTGCTCCATAATTGTGGGTATGCCATGGAAACAGGTGTGTATGTAGGGTGCTGTTTGAAATAAAGCAAAGATAACAATATTAATGCTAAATAATGTAACTGACATTTATTGTAGGCTTACAGTTTGCCAGGTACTGTACTGAACGCTTTAAGTGCATTATCCTGTTTAATGCTCACAAAAACATTTGTGGGTAATGCTGTTTGTGGCTATATTTTTGCAAGTGAGGAAATTGGGCTTGAGAAAATAGGTGAAGTGTGTTGCCCAGGGTCACCCAGCAACAAGTGGAGTTGCAGAATCCATATTTTATAAATGTTGTTTGTATTTTTTCAGAGTTTAAAAAAACTCATCTTAAAACCGAAGGCTGTTTTTTAATAATGTAGTGTATTCACATGGTTTGAAATTCAAAAAGGTTTATAATAAAAAATGACCTGTCCTGTTTCTCAGCTGTCGAGTTCTCTTGGGGGGTAACCAGTGTTTTCAGGTTCTTGAATACTCAAAATATATTTTATGCATATGTAAGTTTATAGATATATATACATTTTCAAAGCCTCTGTGCTCTTGAACTGATCATGCTTTATAAGAAAAGGGGAAAGATGAAGCATCTTCCTTGACAGCAATGAATATCTTGCTTTCACTCTCAACTAGGTTAGGTTCTGGTGAAATAGGAGGGGAAAACACATTCACTCTGTTTTATCCAGAATGTCCTGTCTTTAATAAGGCTTAGAGGTATAGGTTTGGTTTGGTTTTAGGAGGGTAGGAACTGAGCAAGATGTTGAACTTGCTACTTCATATGCAACTGTGAGAAAGCCACTCCACTCCTTGAGCCATAAGTTTCCTCATTGGTTAGTTAAGGGCAAAATTATTGATACTTCCTTGAGGTTGAGAAGATCAGATGAAGTAATGTTTTAGAGTAGTATTTTAGTCTTTAAAACAAACGTAGGGGCCGGGCGCGGTGGCTCACGCTTGTAATCCTAGCACTCTGGGAGGCCGAGGCGGGCGGATTGCTCAAGGTCAGGAGTTCAAAACCAGCCTGAGCGAGACCCCGTCTCTACTATAAAAATAGAAAGAAATTAATTGGCCATCTAATATATATATATATAAAATTAGCCGGGCATGGTGGCTCGTGACGCCACGGCACTCACTCTAGCCTAGGCAAGAAAGCGCGACTCTGTCTCAAAAAAAAAAAAAAAAAAAAAAAAAAACAAACGTAGGTATGAGGGTTGCCTAAGGGAACGTAGGGAGATAATGGCAGAACCAGAGACCAAACCCAGGCTCCCATCTCCCAATTTAGGAGTCTTTTAATCACATGGTCCATTTCCTCAGAGCTTTGTGATTGTTAATATTTAGAGTGGGAGGGCAATTGTAATGTTTACTCTGAGGTGGGAAAAATGGGATGTGGGTAGGGTAGGGAGGAAAAGGCACCTAGTGAGAAATCATAGCCTCAAGGTAATAATTGCTCTTAATTATACAGTTAAGCCCCTAGTATGTTTGAACCCTTGAGTTTTTCTTCCAGATATTTTTAAGAATAACTTTATGTAAGATCATAGTGTTGAAAGGGATGTTAGTGGTCATGTCCATTCTAGCCTCAGTGCCACAAAAAGCTTTCCTGCCAGATATTCATAGGAATAAAACTAACAAAAAGTACCATTTAAATTACCCTAGTCTGGTCACTGTGCTAAGTAAGCATGTCACTGCTTTATTTCTGAGTGTCACAGTCCTCAAGTTGGGTGATAGCTTCCATTTTACAGGTAACAAAACTGAAGCATAGAAGTTTGTTGAACATGCTCATGATTACATAGGAAGGGGCTGAATTAGTAGAAGGTTTGACTGACTTCCAGAGCATTTTTCATTTATTTCATTCTGCCTCTGTGTACAACTGTCCTTGACTGTTCACAGTAATGGGAAGCTCACCACTCTGAAGGCAGCTATTCCATTGTTGAAAGGCTCTGAAATTGAAAAGCTGCTTCTCATGTTGAATTGAAATCCCACTTCCTGAGGTTTCCCCCTGGGACCTTGTGCTACCAGTACATGATATTCCTAGAGGCTCTGTAAAAAAGTTCAACTTAGACCTATGGCCTTAAGAAAGTCCCCTCCAAAGTCAATTCATTCTTTTAGAAAAGTAAAAGTTGGTGTTTTTAATAGTGCATTCTGCAGAGTTAATGGAAACTGCTTTATTAAAAAAGAAGATGCCTTTTTCATAATCAGAGATGAACTAGAAAAAACATCCCATTAGGGATTAGGCATCTTGAAGGTCAATCTGTAATGTAAGTTGGAAAAAAAATTCATTCTTTTTTTTGTTTGAGATGATGCCTTGCTCAGTTGCCCAGCTGAGAATGCAGTGGCATCATAGTTCACTGCAACCTTAGACTTCTGCACTTAAGCGATCCTCCCGCCTTAGTCTCTCAAGTAGCTGGGACTATAGGTGTGTGCTACCACCTGGCTAATTTTACTTTTGTTTTTATTTTTATTTTTTGTAGAGACTGGGTCTTGCTATTGCCCAGGCTGATCTCAAACTCCTGGCCTCAAGCAATCCTCCCGCCTTAGCCTCCCAGAGTACTAGGTTTACAGGCATGAGCCACCCACACTTGGCCTACGAAAATAATTTCTTATTATGAATTAGGAGAATATATAAATTACGGAAGTGGCTGGGCTTTTTAAAGATGCTCATTGGAATGCTTGGCCCATAATCTTCAGTAAATGTCATGGGCACATTAATTTGGCATGTTGTAGGATGTATCTTAGATATTTGTGAATAATGGGAACCTGATAATGTTTTAATGGGTATTTTAAATTTGTCATGTGGCCATTTAAGTAACAATTCAGCTTACATAAAATATAAGCATTTGTACGACTGATGTGTGTCATAGTATTCTAGAGTAGATGTGATGGAGGAAGTCTCTCACACTTTTCACTGTAATATATAATTCCAGGGCAGGTGTTTTGCTGTGTCTTTTTAGTTAACCAGTATTAATTAACTAGCTGTTGTGATATTGTGCAGATGCCCACAGAAAAGGGTTGTTTTGTCTTACTGAGAATGATTTATTTTAAAAGTAGAGATTTTCCAGGCATGTTTTATAGAGGGTTTTTGGGATTCAGAGGAAGGAGGGGACTTGTTATTGTGTGATAAATTGATAAAACTTTTAGTGAACTGATTATATTTTGGCAGCCATGTAAATCCTTAATATAAATTAATAAATTGTCTCTAGCCCAAACCCTTCAGCTTCAAGGATATTACCTTGAAGTCCAGAGTTCCAGAAACTAAAACTAGTAGACAGCAGCTGATGTGATTAGAAGGTTTGGGTGTGTCTACTAATAAATCAGACTGTTTTTTGTCCAAGAACATTGTTGCCAAATTTGATATTAGAAACTTATGATTTTTACTCACCTTATATTAATGAAGTTGGTGGATGAGATCTTGCTTCTTGTGTAGACTTGATCTAGGTTACATGTCTGGAAAGAAATTAATTTTCCTCTTCCACATTAATTTAGACATAAGATTTAAAATGAGTATGGCAGTCTTTTGAGGAACCAAGCAATTAGATTAGAAGGAAAGATTTTTTTTTTTAAATCGTGGAAATGTCGACATATATGAAAATAAAGAGAATAATAGACCATTATATACTCATCACCCAGCATTAAATTCTGTCAGCATGGTGGCCAATCCTGAGAATGATTTTTAGTGGTTTGCTTTAGTTTTTGTTCTCTTTCATTAGTTTAGTCTCCATTGTTAAGAGTGGGTTGATGCCTGTTGACACTAATGCAGGATACTTTAAAACTTTTATGTCACAATTCTGGAGCAATTTGTTATTCTCCTAAAGGGAGAAATGGTCTAATCAGATACAGATAGATACAGTACCCCTAGATCATATCACCAGGTTGTATTCTCCTGGTTATCACTGACTTCAGAGAGAGTAAGTTTGGTGTACTGATCTGGAGAGAATTGACCTCCAGTGTCTTCTGCTATTTAATAGCTTTTTGTAGGCAAATCGGTTACCTTCTCTGACCTGTAGTTTCCTCATTTGTGAAGTGAAGATGATGATACCTGTTTCTGGTATTTTGTAAGCATCAGGATTATTAACTGGCCTTATTTATGCATGCTTCCAAGACCTTCATGGCTCTCGGGGACATGTGTTTAAGAGTGGTTACTAGCTCATATGAGGCTTATAGAAACAGACAGTTAGACAAAATAAGGTCTTTGGTAATTCCTGTTCCAAATAGGCTGGGCCATAAAGGAGGTGGAAGAACCAGAATGCACCAGGCACACAACTTCCTACACCTGCTTGTTTTTCTTCCCCAAACCTTTTCACCGGAACATCTATTGCAAAAGCAAATAATTCTATGATTTTGGTGACAGGTCAGATTGTGCCTAGCATGATAACTAATGTCTCAGGTTACTGCTCTGGTGACTTGCTTTCTGATTGTCACATCTTGGTGTTTATTTTTGTGATTTTAGTGCCCAAATTTAGTGCCCAAATAGATTCATTAAGGAAATAGTTTTATAATGGTTTTGATGGGGAGGGGATGTATTTAGAATACACTGTTTTATAATGAATGAATACTTTTTATTTTACTGTAAAGATGCATGTAGCATGTGCTAGACTTCAAAAGGAACAAGTCACACACACCAACCTGTTTCACTGACTTATGTTTTGGAGGTCATGATTTCTTAAACTATGTTTTCTCAACTGTATTTTCTTTTGTGTGCATGGAAAATTTTCAGATAAATATGGTGTATTAACTGTAAAGTTGTAGTAACTAAGCATAAAGTTGTAATGCCAAGTTTTTTACACTAATTTTTAATACTTCATTTGTTAGCAGTCTTGCTTGAATTGTCTTTTTGAGCAGAACTAATACAATATTTTGATGTGCCACAGGTAAATTTTTCCATAACCTTATGGAGAGAAAGGACTTTGAGACATGGCTTGATAACATTTCTGTTACATTTCTTTCTCTGACGGACTTGCAGAAAAATGAAACTCTGGATCACCTGATTAGTCTGAGTGGGGCAGTCCAGCTCAGGCATCTCTCCAATAACCTGGAGACTCTCCTCAAGCGGGACTTCCTCAAACTCCTTCCCCTGGAGCTCAGTTTTTATTTGTTAAAATGGCTTGATCCTCAGACTTTACTCACGTGCTGCCTCGTCTCTAAACAGTGGAATAAGGTGATAAGTGCCTGTACAGAGGTGTGGCAGACTGCATGTAAAAATTTGGGCTGGCAGATAGATGATTCTGTTCAGGACGCTTTGCACTGGAAGAAGGTTTATTTGAAGGCTATTTTGAGAATGAAGCAACTGGAGGACCATGAAGCCTTTGAAACCTCATCATTAATTGGACACAGTGCCAGAGTGTATGCACTTTACTACAAAGATGGACTTCTCTGTACAGGTGAGAGACATTGGAACTGTTTTTTTGTATTTCATAGGGTGTAAACTTAAGAATAAACTACTCCTCGGGTTTGAGGATGGCAAGTGTTGATTATATGAGGCATCTACAATAGCATTTTCCCCCCCATCCCTGAGTGGATTTTCCCCCTTTATCCTCTTTTTTTTCCCTCTAGAGAAGACAATCATTGTAAAGTTTTACAAGAAACAAGCTTCAGACATTCTTTTAAACATGTGAATCAGAAAGCTGTAGATTACTTTTTTCCATATGTTTTCTCCGTGTACAGTTCTCCATTTTGGTTAATTTTGTTTCTTTCGCTATCAGCAATGATTTTTGGGGGAAAAAAACAGTGGAAAGATTGGTGTTAATCCTAGCAAGTAATTACATCATTTTGGATGAATTACTTGACCTCTCTGTGTTTATTTCTTTGTTTGTAAAATATGGGAGATATTTCTTCCTTGCTCTGAAATCCTGTGATTCTAAGAAGAAATAGAAGTTGAAAGTTTGGGTATGGGAACAAAGAGAGTTGGATGATTTTAAACTAGGCAATTAAATAACTTTATAAAACAATATGATCATTAAAATTTAAGAATTATGTATGCTAACTTTTATTTATTTTGGGCATATGTTTCTACATATGCTTATGGTCCTTGGGCTTAGTGCCCATGTTTTAGGCAATACATTTTGACAGGCAATATAATTCTTAAGCAGTGGTTAGAATGGCTCTAGGCAGTTCTTATCATTGATCCCAATGCCTATTTACTTACATTCTATTTGATATAAAGGGATACTTGGTGTTCTTTTTTTCATCCAAGATAACTTCTAATAAACATTAGTGTATTACCTAAACTACATAATTGTCATTTTTAGTAAGTATAAACTGTTCCTGTGTGTAATCAATCATCATTATTTAGCCATATCCATATTAGTGCATATTCAACTTGTTTCTATTTTTATGACTGTCTTTATTTGCATTACTTTTTTCACCCCTCGAATTATTTGGGACAGATGCCTAAAAGTAGAATTGTCAGATCCAGAAGTATGAATGATTTTATAGCTCCTCTTATTGTCCTTTCTAGATAGATTGAATTGATGCCGTGCCCAGGGCAGTCTTAAGTAACTTGTTTCTCCCTCAGAGTCTCAGCAGATTCAATTTTAATATTTGTAATGGTTAAAAGAGATGCATCATTTCTCAAGATTGTTTTAAAACTGCATTTCTTTATTCAGTTTTCCCATGTGGTGATGTATTCTCTGAAATGTTAGACACTTCTCCAGTTATAGAAAATAAACATTCTTTTTAAGGCATTTCATTGTTTGGTTTGTCATCCTGAAGTTACTTCACTCTTATATTATTTTTCCTGTCTTACAAACCTAATTATTGGAGCAATGTCATTGGTTCTTCTGTACTTTGCTGTACTTTTCCCAGTTGTGATGATGGCTTTTCCATGTCCTTTGTGCCTCACGATCTGTGGCTGATATTTTTAAAGATTAAGATGCAATATTGTCTTGGAACTGGAGCTCTTTCCCACTTAGGGAAATACTTGAAGTTAACTAATTGTTTTCACAACCACCTTTAGCTTTTTAAAGTTTTTTTCTTCTCTCATCAAACTTTACTTTTCAAATGCAATAAACCCCCCTTTGGAGCAGAAGTAAATGGGAAATATTCACTGAATTCTCTAACTACCTGGAAAGTTAATACCTGCAATAAGTGGACCCAATCCTGCATTTTAAGTTTATTCTCTAAATGAGTCTATATGTAATATGATTTTTATTCGGATTAAATGCATCAGGTTTGCTTTTTGAGAATTATGTTGTACTGTGGCTATTGAAAATAATCCAAAGCAATAGTTTAATTTTTCTAACAGTAGCATCCCTGGGACTGTTACTAGTGAGAGATATATTCATTACAGAATTATACATGTGTTTGTGTCATCTCGTTACTTAAGAGATTGAATTTTCACTGTGATCAAATTGGGAAATCCTCAATTTGGCAGTAATCTTACAGTGACTCTCAGATTAGTGCCTTGAGCAAGCAATAATATGGTATTACTAAAGAGATTGATGGCTAATGCTAAAAATTGACTTGGTGTAGATTGAGGTAGTTATCGTTCTGTTCTGCAGTTTATTTCTGAAATTCTAAGCAAGGAACAGAACCTTTGTGCCGTTCAATAGATACTTATGAAATGCCTACCATTTGAAAAATAATGTGAGGGCATACATAGATGAATTAGAGCAGTTCTTTCCTCAGATTATACATGTTGGGATCAATAAAGTGACCTGATTTATGTAAAAGTCTCTGCATGGACTATGGCAAATCAGAGAATATTCTAGTTGCTATTCTCTTGTCGTAAATTGTTACCACGTGGGATTCAGGTTGCCAGATCTTTCTAAGAGAAGCCTCAAATCTAGATTTTTGTGAAATAGTCTGAATTTTTTAAATGTGTCATTTGGATTTTTAAACTATTGTGGTTTGATCAGAGTCACCCTGTGAGCTGCTGGATGTGACCTCTGGCTTATAGTTGAATAAGAGAAACAAGAGCTATGAAAGAACTAAAATAAAATGATACAGTTGAATTGAATGGGGGAAAAAATCATGGTTGTTCAGAGAAAAGAGTCATTTCTTCATTTGGGAAAATTGAACAGTGTTTATGTTGGGGCTTAAAGAATGGTAGACTTTAGAGAGATGAGATGCTGAGTAAGGGCTTTCCAATAAGATGATCAGCATTAGCAAAGGCATGGAAGGCACTAAGCATGGAGCATGTAAGAGGAAAATAAAGAAAATTATTTCACTTGGACTCTTAGAATATAAGTTAGAACTCCTATACTATAAGGGACTCAGAATATAATCAGAAGAAATGGGCCTGCCGTATGTTAATAGCCTTGAATGCTGGGAACATGAGTTTGGACAATTTTCTATAAGCAGTATGAAAGCTATCAAAGATTTCTGAACAGAAAAAGGGCAAAGATTAGAGCTTTCTGCTTCGGGTAGACCAGTGTTTCTTATTTCTGTCAAACCCAGGTCCTCTTTTTATAACATATTTCACAATATCTTATCTTGAATTCATAGAAATAACTTATCTATACATACATATGTTTTTGAAATTGATATAATGCCTGAACTCTGATCCAGAGGGAAAGTTAGGGGGCTGTAATTTAAAATAATACCCGTTTAAACATGTAGTATTCAAGTATGGTATGTTTGAAGATAGTAATCAGATGTTTGCACATGCATGTAGTGTCATAGTAAACTTGACAGCTATAAATGCATGTTGTATTTGTGTCATGGATACCATCAGGATATGATCTTCTCAATTAGTGGAAAACTCTTTACATAGTTCTCAACAAAGCAAAGTACATTTTTCCTTAATTTACCTGGTAGTTGCACTCAGAATATTCAGTATATAATTAAACTGCAAATATACTTTCTAAAACAAATAGGCTTAGATAACTAAAAATAAGCTTTTCATTTATGAATATCTGGTAGAACCATCAAGAATGTCATATAAAATGTAAGGTAATTCTTTTTGTGCACTGTCTCAAATATTGCAGGTTATCTAGCATTCCTGACCTCTCTGCCCAATAGATGCCAGTATGCCCCAACCTCTACCATTGTGACAATTGAAACCACCCCCACAAATTTCTAAAATACTCCCTTAGGATATGATACTACTCCTATTAAGACCTTCTGACATGGACAAATTAGAGCTTCCAAATTAAAGTACTATCCAGTAAGGACAAATAGTAGACTTAAGTGTAGAGATTTTTTAAAATACCACAGTTCCATGGCAAGCACTCTGGACTCTGAATACAGAGATTTAAGAAAAGAGCAGTTGAATAGAAGAACAGCCATTAAAGTAGAATTGACAGGATTTGGCAATGGAGTATGTATGTGGCAAGAAGAGAGATTTCAAAAATGGCTTAGGTTGCTAGCTTTGTATGGTATGTCTGGGAAGATAGTAGTACTAATAACAAGACTAGAAAAGGAGGGAATAAATTTGAGAGGATAGATGGGGTTCAACTTGTGATGAACTGAATTCAGTTGCCTATTATATTTCTAAGTGAAGATTCCCACAGTATTTGGAAATGGAGGGTCAGCTTTGGAGAGTACTCAGGACTAGAGAGAAAGACATCACAGCTATGGCTGGAGCAGTGAAATTTTAAAAGGAGATTTAGAGAGGAAAAAGAATAGAATCTAGGGTAGATCCTTGAAAAGTGTACTTGGAGAAGGGAGAGAGGTGAAAGAAACAGGACAATGATGAAGAGAGTTTCAAGAAGGAGAATGATAGCCTGTTCTAAAGAGCCACTGGTGAATGTTTATTCAGTTGGCCAACAGAGTCAAATGCCTCAGAGAAGTGGTTGAGGGTTGAGATATGATTCTACCAGTTAAATATTTAAACTTAACTTGATAAGATAGTTTGCTCCATTTGGGTTACAGCTTATTTTTCTGCCTATCTGTGTTGCATACCCATCCCTGACTTTTTTTTATATATCAAAGTAATGTTTTCATTGTATTTTCTGAATTGAGAGATTTTTTTTTCTTTCATGAAACGTAATAGTCCACATTTATTTAGTCCTCTGTTGCTTCAGGTTAGTCTGTGCAGCAAATAGGAGTCCAGAGGGGAGGCTGACATAAAGCAGGAAAAGAGCAGAGAACAGTAGCTCCTAAAGTGAATTTGTACCACTGTAAAATGGGACTCAACCTGATTATTTTTTGATATTTCTTTAGGGTGTAAAACTGAATGGCACAACGTTTTCCTGTATAAACTAATTTAATTTGTTAGTTTGGATAATCTCTCCTCTAATTTTTTTTAATTGTGGTAAAACGTACCTAACATAAAATTTACCATTTTAACCATTTTCAGGTGTACAGTCCAGTGCCATTGAGTACATTGACATCATTGTGCAGCCATCACCATCATCCATCTCCAGATCATTTTGTGTCTTCCTAAACCAAAACTGTATCAGTTAAATACTAACAACTGCCCATTCCACCGTCCCTCCAGCTTGTGGCAACACCATTCTACTTTCTGTCTATGAAGTTGACTGCTCTAGAAACCTCATATAAGTGGAATCACCCAGTATTCGTTCTTTTTTGACTGGCTTAATTCACATAGCATGTCTACAAGGATCCTCTGTGTTGTAAAATGTCATAATTTCATTCTTTTTTAAGGCTGAATAATATTCCACTGTATGTATATACCATATTTTGTTTATCTTCCCTAGTTTTTACCTAGCCATCTTCTATTAATAGTTTTGCCTCACTTCAAACCATTTTTCTATGATATAACCATAGTGATCTTTCAGAAACGCAAATGAGGTAATAGTTAAACATCCTTTGACCCAGTTCTCTAGCCTAACCTTGCCACTATTTCCCAGTCAAACTGAAGTGTTTTTATAACCAATGTTGATGTTTTAAGCAATGCATTTTAACAAGCATTGCAAGTAATTCGTAGGCAGTTTTTAGAATGTTTCCCAATAGTTCTTTATGAATCGGCCCCAGTGGCCATTCACGTATTTTTATGTAATATATAGAGATACTTAATAGTTACTTCACTAGGTATATACCAGGGATTGGCAAACTATGAACTGTGGGCCAAATCTAGCAGATCAGAGTAATTGCAACAAAGACTGTATGGCTCCAAAGCCTATGATATTTACTGTCAGGTCTTATCCAGAAAAAATTTTACTGACCTCTACTATACACTTTTTATTCCTTTTTTTTTTTTTTTTTTGGCCTAATTAACTTGAATTTCAACTAGTTAAAACCTAAAAGTTTTTTTAAGCAGTGAAATCCCTTCAAACAATTCCATGCCAAAGCCCAGCTTAAAAGCAAATAAAAGGGATATAATTGAGGAACCCAATCATGCTGCTACTAGAGATGTTAATAGAACACCCACATGTTGAGAAGCACAATCGTAAACTCAATAGAGCTTAACCTGAGACAGTTTCTCTTTTTATCCCCTCCTTATATTTGCTATGGGCTTTTGTACTCCCTGCCACTTACTGTGCCAAATTATTATTGCTTGTTTAGCCTTTTTGTCTTCCCAAAGACAAAAAGACTAATTAAAGTGGGCCCAAGTAGACTAAGTGCTATGAAGGCAGGAGCCCTGCCTGACACAGAAGTTCTATAAATACATGTTGAGTGAATGAGACCCCAGTTGAACACTGGTAATAAATCAGAACCAAGCTCATATAGGACCTACAATGATTTCTCTAGTTCCTTAGGAATACAGTCACAAAATGCCTAATCCGGAGGACCTTAAAGAATATCCAGACCGTGCTGACCAGTATAGTAGCCACTAGCCCCATATGCCTTTTGAGTACTAGAGCTGTGGCTAGTCCAAATTGATATGTGAAATACTGGATTTCAAAGACTTGGAATGTAAAAGAATGTAAAATATCTCATCAATAATTTTTATATTGAAATGATATTTTTGAAATACTGAGTTAAATTATTTTCACACATTACTTTTTTAATGGAACTATTAGGACATTTTAAATGACATTTGTGGTTTGCATTGTTTCTATGGGACAGAACTGTTCTAGACCACTAGTTCTCAAAATATTGCTGAGGAGGTAGAATTACCTTGCAAACTTTTGAGATTATTGCATACCACCTCAAATATTCTAAATTAGAATCTCTGGAGATAGAGCCCTGATTATATGTTTTGATAAAGCTCTCCAGATGATTCTGAGGTCTCACATGCCCGTGTCTACCAAGCAAGTCCTACCCCACTTTTTATACAGAGGGAAACTGAGTCCTAAATATTAAAGTGACAACAAATAAAGTTATGCTCTCATAGAGTTTTCCCAGGTTAAAATTCATGCTCTTTCTTAAATGATGGCTGTTTTTCCATTGTCTGAAGTAGTGGCTCTTGGCTAAAGGTGGAATTGTGACTGGCATTATTTATTTAGTCATTTCAGCTTTTTTGAAAACTGATCATTTGGTGCTTTCCTGGGATACTATATCCTTATCATAGTGGCTGTATTTAGTGTGTTCTCAAAAATGTCTTTATCGGATCTTATTAAAGGAATATTGTGAGACATGAATTAATCATTATGATTTTAAACTTAAAGCAAAGTTCTGAATTTATCACCATGATTAGTATGGAATTTTCATCAGAGGCAGAAATGAAACCTACTTTTTCCCATGGAATCTTAAGAGGCTTTTTACAGACTGTTTGTTGAGTTGTTGTGACTGTCTGGGGATAATTTATCCCTGATTTTCTTTGAGGTTCTTTCATAAATTTCAAGATGGCTGAACAATTAGCAGTTAGCTTTGGCAGAATTTAGCTCATGATCTGAGGTTTATCTTTGACTTGCCTTGGAGTGGAATACATTTCAGATAGACAGCTTTACTATTCAGCATTCCTTATTTGTTCAGAGCTGTGGGGTAATGGACAAGCATGCAAGTGTAAATTATAGGTAATATCCATCAATTCAAGCTCAGATTGGAGAGCTTTTGATAGCAAAGGATTTATCAACATTTTCAAGTGGAAACACCAAGGGATGCTTTAGTGTAATACACTTCTATAGCCTGGAAAGTTAAGGGAAAAGGACTAAACCAAAAAGCTTGGATTCTGTCCCAGTGCTTTTAATATCATTTTGGTGACTGAGCAAGTCTCCATTAGGACATTTTAAATGACATTTGTGGTTTGCATTGTTTCTATGGGACAGAACTGTTCTAGACTACTAGAACTACTAGGTCAGCCACATAGTGGGGGTGCTAGAAGAAGGGACCATTAAGCTTCTCCTTTAAGAGTATCATAGATTAGAATTGATTTTCCTTTTACTGCACCTGTTTTCTTATTAACCTCCTTGTTTTTCTCTTGAAGGGTCAGATGACTTGTCTGCAAAGCTGTGGGATGTGAGCACAGGGCAGTGTGTTTATGGCATCCAGACCCACACTTGTGCAGCGGTGAAGTTTGATGAACAGAAGCTTGTGACAGGCTCTTTTGACAACACTGTGGCCTGCTGGGAGTGGAGTTCCGGAGCCAGAACCCAGCATTTCCGGGGGCACACGGGGGCGGGTGGGTTGCCCTTTTTCAAGGGTTTTTATAATTATTTTAGCCACATCCCTTAGAGCCTGGAGCCAGTAATGTGAAACTGCTTCTTCTTTTTTTTTTTTAATTTAACCTGCCTTCCCACCCCCCTTTTCACAGTCACTACACTTATTTCCCTTTATTTCAGTTATTCTTATTTGGAATGGTTTCCCTAATTGTGCTGCTTCTTGACCCATTTTAAAACTCTTCTATGTACCCTTATGCTGAGAGGGATAGTTCTTCTCTCCTATTTCATTTATGTCCTGTTCAAGTCAGTCCCCTTTACTTTTATCAGATTCCTTGCCTCCAAATTGAATAAGGCCTATACTTTTAAATTTAGTTCATTTTATTTGTAGAATTAGGGCTGAAAGTCCTTTGGAGTGATGGTGGTTCCCAGAGTGTGGTCTATACAGATGATATCCAATTTAAGCTTGGTTGACAATTGATTAAAACAAGCTACCACTTAGAGATAAGGTGAAAGAAACAGATACCTGAATGTTTCCTGATAAATGTACAGTGGCCTTATTTTGCAGAAAACTATTTATTTGAATATAGCCTTGAGACTTCAGCTTCTCCCTCTGTTGTATTTTATTTTGGAGTTTTGTGTAGAAATTACAATAAGCTATTTCCCAGCCTCTTGTGCAGCAGCTCACTTCTTCCTTTCTGTGTTTACCCACTGCTTTAGCCTCTGAGAGTCAGTCTCTGCTGTTAGGCATCACCTTATGAACAGCCTTCTGGGACTCCCTAAACAGGTTGGGAGTAGATTTCCCAATAACCTGTATTGCTGTCATAGTACTTATCATACAAGTAAGTATGATAATCTTGCTTCCCCACCATACTGTAAGCTCCATTAAGACAGCGATCCTGCCTGTCTTGTTGACCGTTACGTCTTGAGTTCTGTGCACTCTACCTGGTGCTCAGTAATTCTTTGACGTAAACCTAGCTGTTTTGCTGATAAAAAACCAAATATTTTTCATTTCATTTTATTTGCCCTTTATATGTTCTTCTTTGGCCATTGCTGTCTGCTACCATTTGTTTTAGAAATTTAATATTTGAAGGTGCATGATTTATTATGGAACTTAATATATTAAACAGTGTAATATTCCACAATGTCAAGATGTATCATAACTTCCACCTGATTTTATTCCTGATCAACTTTGAGAGCCCTGTTCTAAACAATTTTCTCCTTACTATTCCATGGACATTGCTATGGTTTTTCTTAACTTCATGCCTTTGCTGTTCCCTCTACCTGCAATATTCTTTTTCTTTTCTTGATAAACTCTACTCATCCTTCAGGGCCCATCTCCAATATCGCCTCTTCCCTGAAGTCCTCCCTGATACCCCTGGGCAGAGTTAGTCATTCTCCTTGGTGTTCCCCTAGCAAGAGGTAAACATTTATTTTTTTCTGGACTTCTTCCTCCATCCCCCACTTAGACTGAGTTCCTTAAAGGAAGGTTCCCTGCCTTCATCGATGGGTCCCCAGTGTTCCTTTAGAGCTTGGCATATTTGAGTACTCACTATACTGCAGATACTGTTTTAGGTGTTGGGGATATAGCTGTGAAGAAATTCAAACGCTATTTTGAGTAAATGGCTTGGTCTGACCTGTGAGATCTTTGTGGTTTTTTTCTCTTTACACTGGCTTTTCTTGAGTCTGGAAACTGTTTTGCAGGTTACTTTCTTTACATTTGGTCTATATTATTAGTGCATATCTGAACAGGGCCACCTATGTTCTGTTTTCTGCATAAAATAGATAAAGTTTTGTGTAGTGTTAGGCACTCCTCAGAAGGAATGCCATTATCTCCAACACTGGTTTTGCCTTTCATTCTGAAGCTATTGCAGATAAAAGATACTGTATTGTTCCTGGAACTTTCCAACCTTAGAATATAACAATTTTGAAATAGTTTTTTCATCATAAAATTGCTGGTTGAGTAGCACTGTTCTTAACAGTGTCTCTGTTTAGAAAATTACATAATTGGGCAGTTAGGGAAAACAGATGTTAACTGAACTCTATTATAAAAGACCCACCAAGAGAGACAAGTTTTAACTTTCTGCATGTTATATACACTAGTGTTTAGTGTGGACTACAATGATGAACTGGATATCTTGGTGAGTGGCTCTGCAGACTTCACTGTGAAAGTATGGGCTTTATCTGCTGGGACATGCCTCAACACACTCACCGGGCACACGGAATGGGTCACCAAGGTAGGAAAACATAAAAGAATCTTGATGTCATGCTTTTGGGGGAGGAGAGGTAGAGCATGGTAGATAATGCCTGCTAAGTGGTAGGTGAGTCATAAGATGGAATAGATGTAATACCAAGCATGATGGTGTACAACAGTGACCAACATGTAGAGGTATATAGTAAATAATTTAACAGATGAATAACCAATGGACATGGAACAATGCCCACAATATATTAGGTGGGTAGAGGGGGCAAATAAGCAAATTACGTACAAAAAAGTATGTAGAGAGTGATATCAGTTTCTGAATGTGTTGAAGGTGATTATTTCTGGTGGGATTGTGGGTGCTTTTTTCCCTTTAGAATGAATATCTTTTTTAATCAGAAAAGCAGTTTTCATGTTGAAAAAATAGTGTTTGCAAGAAGATCAAAAATGTATAGACTCTTTAGCAAAATACTGTGATGTTTTCAAAACAGGATTGTTGTGAGAATCATATGCAGTATTGATAATGGATGTGCCATGCAGAAGCACTTTTCTTAAGTTTACCATGCTGTTCTGTGAGGGGCTGAGGATACAGGAGAGAGCAAATTAGACCTAGGTTTTACCCTTATGGATGTTAGCCTGGAGAAATAGTTGTTAAACAGTAATTTCACAAATAAATATATAGTTACAGATTGTGCCAAGTTCTATGAAGGAAACGTACAGTGTTGTATGAGAAAGTGTAGGAAAGTAATTTAGGGAAAGTTTTTTGAAAGAGGGCAAAGCACGAATAATGAATAAGAGGTAGCTGTGGAATGACTGGCAGAAAGATTGTTTCAGAGGGCATAGTATATACACAGGCCTGGGATAGGAAAGAACTCGAACATTTGATGATCCACAAGAAGGACAGTGGAGTCATGCTGTAGTTGGGGGAGATAGGTAAAGAGGTAGTCGTCATGTGTGATTTATGAAGCCTTAATAAGGATGGTGGATATCCCTTTAAGTGTACTAGAAGCAATTGATAAGTTCTGAGCAAGGGTCTGGTGTGGTTTGTGTTAAGAAAATAACTGCTAAGTGCAGAATAGACTAGAGTGGGGCACGAGTGGGTGCAGGGTGACCTGTTAGCCTTTGCAGTAGTCTAAGCAAAACATACCCATGACTTGGACTGGGTGACAATTAAGAAAGAGAAGGGCACTGATGAAGGATATATCTTTAAGGTAAGCTACCTGAACTTGCTGATTGATTGTGGGGAACAAAGAAGAAGAGAGAGTCAGAGATGGCTGGTGGGTTTTAGCTTGGGTGGATGATTATGTCTTTTTTTGAAATAGATGATGCTAAAAGGAGAGTAGTTGTGAGATGATCAATAATTATGTATTGGGCACATTAAGTTTTTAAATAGAGAAGTTATATATTATAAGGCAATTTGGTGTTATGGGAAACCTAGTAAACTTTGGGCCGGGACACTGTTATGTCTGGGACAAGTTACTGCTCCCTTCAGGACCTGAGTTTTATCATCTGCTAAATGTTCTGAGATGTTGGGATAGTACCCAGTAAGGTGTCTGATACTTAGTAACAGGTCTCTCCATTTCAATTGAATGTGCAATCCAGGCTTCTGAGTGAGTGAACTCTGCCTCCCCTTTCACTTTATGCTGATTTATTGCAAAAGTAACTACAACCTAGTGTTTACAGATATCCCAAGTGCTAGTGGAATGTTAGCTTGTATTATGTTATTGTTACTATTATTTACATTGTTTTATTTCATCTTCACTGCAGTTATATGAGATAAGATGATAGATAGGTGCCTTGTCTCCTATTTTAAAGATAAAGAAACAGAAACAGTTTAGATGGTCCTGCCCAAGATTGCAAAGGAAGTATATGGCAGATTCTGGTTCCAAGCCCATTGCTTTTTCCTTTATAATGCACATGTTTATGGAAGCAGATCATTTACATCTACTTCAGTGTCTGTGGATTTTTTCTTTTCAGTTTCTTTTGTATTCTGTGGTCACATTTTATAATTTTTTAAATCATCCTAATGTTTGCTTCTAGACTAAAGCGAAGATTAATGCTGCTAACATTAGACACTTTTAGATAACTGCTAATAACAGATTCTTATAGTAAAAATCTTAGTAGATATTAACTTGGTAATAGAGTTATAGCTTAGCTATTCTAGCATAACATCATTTGAACCTTGTTTTCTTATTTTAATTAAAAAAATCAGTACAGCAACAGCATTAACAGGATCTTCATAACATGGATATTTATATTTGCAGGTGGTTTTGCAGAAGTGCAAAGTCAAGTCTCTCTTGCACAGCCCCGGAGACTACATCCTCTTAAGTGCAGACAAATATGAGATCAAGGTGAGTATTTTCCTCCATTAATTTACCCCATCAAAGAAAAAGTGGCAAATACAAGAAAAAGTGTTATGGCAAAAGGGAGAATATTCTAAGGGGTGAGCAGGAATGTCTTAGTCCAAGCCATCTTAAACTCATTGGGAGAGGAGATGATTCACTAGCTCTGTGTCCTATGTAGTTTCTAAACTCAGATTTGTAAATCAAAAAGAAATCCACAGAAATTTATTTTCAACCTGCTTACTATTTTCTTTCTTTTTTTTTTTTTTGAGACAGAGTTTCACTTTGTTGTGTAGGCTAGAGTGAGTGCTGTGGTGTCAGCCTAGCTCACAGCAACCTCAAACTCCTGGGCTCAAGTGATCCTTCTGCCTCAGCCTCCCAAGCAGCTGGGACTACAGGCATGTGCCACCATGCCTGGCTAATTTTTTTCTATATATTTTTAGTTGGCCAAATAATTTCTTTCTATTTTAGTAGAGACGGGTTCTCGCTCTTGCTCTGGCTGGTTTCGAACTCCTGACCTTGAGCAATCCGCCTGCCTCAGCCTCCCCTTACTATTTTCTTAAGACACATATCTCCTGCACTCCTCAATTCTTAGATCTAAACTATGAAGTCATAAATATTCATTTGTTACAATGATTTGCAAAGAGTTTACAAAACACTCACATATATACTTTTTGCACGTTTTAAACTGTCCCTTGTGGTAGGCATTATCTTCGTTGTAGGAACTAAAGTTCAGAGAGGTTAAATATTTTACCCACAATTGCACAGAAGAATCAGGACTTGAACCTATGGTTCTTAACTGTAAAATGTGTGGTCTTCCCAGTATCTGACTTCAGCAAATGTAGGCCACATTGTGTAAGGACAAGCTTTTCTGTAGTGATGTGATCTGTCCTCTTTCCTAATTTTCTTTTTTCTGTAGATTTGGCCAATTGGGAGAGAAATCAACTGCAAGTGCTTAAAGACATTGTCTGTCTCTGAGGATAGAAGTATCTGTCTGCAGCCAAGACTTCATTTTGATGGCAAATACATTGTCTGTAGTTCAGCACTAGGTCTCTACCAGTGGGACTTTGCCAGTTATGATATTCTCAGGTAATGTTTCCTTAGACTTCATGCTTTACCTTTGAAAGTCAGTAGAAAAGACAAGACTAAATATCTGGATATCCCTTTCCATAGCTTGCTTTTAGGAAATGTCTACTAAATATTCACTAAAGTTACTAAATGTTACTAAAATGTTCAGTTATAAACAGGGTTATATATACTGAACATTCACACAGTAAAAATATTTTAGATGTAGTAAGCAAATGAGAAATACTTATTTGCTGAAATCGCCCCTACGTCTGAGTCACAGGCCACTTCTTTCAGATTTAACAAGCTTTTCTAGCAAGTGAAAGGCTTAGATGAAAAGATCCTTCAGATCGTCTCTAGTTCTAGTATTTTAGGTTCTATTTCATAGTCAGTTAAAATTCTGCCTTGTTTTATAAGTGTGGTCATGTTAAGTGGGGTCTAGAGATCAAGTGGCCTTCTGTTGACTAGTAGAAAGTCAGAGGTACTTAGATAACAATATAACTTGTATTCTTTTCCTGCAAAGAAATAAGATGATGTCCATGGACAAATAATTAGACCCCTCTTGGAGACTGGCAGTTATCTGATAGCGTATTCAAGGCTGGTGGAAGCCAGTGCCATGTGGTAATTAAGATAACTTATTTTGGTTATAGACAAACTTTGGTTTAAGACCTGGTGCCATGTCTTACAGGCTGCATGATTTTGTGAAAGTTTCTTAACCTCTCTGTGCTTCATTTTTCTCACCTATAAAATGAGTACTAAATGAAATGCTTATGAAAAGGAACTGGTATAGGACCTGGCAGTTCTTTATTACTAATAACTCTAAGAAGCCCTATATAAAGAAACCTGTTTGAATTTGTTTAACCTACTCTACTTCACAACTGTTGTGCATACACCTATTAACAACTCATACATTTATTGTTCTACAGTGTGGGTCAGGATATGCTGACTTGGGAGAGTACAGAATATTGAACATTCTCCTCATTGTTTTTATGCATGGCTGTTTGAGGTCAACTTGTACGGGATCTGATCACACTAGCCAACAGAACTTTGGCGGGCCCCATCTCTCTGGTCACAAAGTTAGTATCTCATTTATGTCTTCCAGAGTCAGACCAACATTTCTGACCAATTATGTTTTAGAGCTGTTAGGTTTCAGAATCAGTCATAGAAATGATTGATAATTTGATGCTTTGAAAGAAAAGACCGACACAGCATAGAAAACATCAGTCTAAGCTTTTCATTTTATAGATGGGGAAACTGAAGCTAAGATAGGCTATGGTCCTTACGCAGCATTCCACATCTCACCCTAGTCCAACACTCGTCTATCCATGACTGGATTATCCAGAAGGCATATACTTAAGGTACCAGGAAGCCAGGGCACCTAAAAACAAGAAAAGAAAGATTTGAAAGTACTTGCTATTTTGCAAAGAAAAAAATTCAAATAGACACCTGGGAAAAAATAACATCTTTTACAGTTTAATATTTTGAATTAAAATTTTGGGAGGGAGGGTGCAAAGGTATGGTGGGAAAGGAGTATCATAATCATTTTAATGCTTAGAGTCCCTAAAGGTTTTAATTTCATCCTGCATCTACCTTTCTCATGTATGCTTCTGACTCAGAATGACATATAGAGACTCTAGAGTCCCAGATAAAAGTTGCATTTGTTCTTAGTATTTGTTTACACTAGCTTTAAGAAATAAACCTGCAAGGTTGTTTGCTGGTAGGAAGTGCTAGGTTCAGATTTTTCTTTGAAAGGGGCTATTTTGTCTCTGCTTTTTTTCCCCTCCAAACACAAATAACCAACATCTTTTGAAACCTTAGTACAAATCCATCCTATGGCATCAGTTGCTAGGAGCAGGTAGGGCTACTTAAGCTTTGAAGCTAATTGAAAAGAAGCAAAGCATAAGTGACAGCATGTTATTCCATAAGTCTGAGATATGATGCAATCTCAGCTAGGTTATCTCAGTACAGTGTGTGAGGTTACTTAGGTTCAAGGGCCCAGACTGCACAGTAGGGATGTTTGTTTAGTTCTGATGTGATCATAGTGAAAGGAGCCAGAAGCCTGTCAAGACCTGTGCTCTATTCTGCAACATGTTTGTGTTTCATTCTTTGAAATCAGCTCATCTTTCCAGATCTTAAGCTCTATCCTCACAGCCACCCAGTTTTCTTGTTTCTGTTTGTACCCTGCTTTACATTGATGACATGGGACCTACCAGACTTTCTAGCTGTTTCTCAGATTCCTTTGGATCTGTTTTGTAGGAATTTGTATTTGCCTATGTTCGTTGCGTCACTGCTTTATTCGTTAGATATTTATTAAGCACCTACTTTTGTGTCAGGCATTGTGATGTACATTGGGAAGTGGAGAAATACTTACCAGACTCATGGAAATTACTAATCAGCAGGAGGGAAGACTGACATTAAACAGCTAATTACATACACATTTTTTTAATGATTGAGATAAGAGGAACCTAGTACAGGGTACTTTGAGACACTACCTACTTTGTGGCATAAAGGAAGGCTTCCATGAGGAAGAGAGATTCAGGCTGAGCTCTAAAGGTGAGTGTATCTGTCTTAACTAAGTGACAGGGGTGGGTGTGTAATGAGGATTCTATAGACTGAGGATCTGTCTGAAGGTCCTGAGGCTGAAGGAGCCTGGTGGATTTGAGAAATTGAAAGAAATTCCTCAAATGCATCAGTGTGGCTGGAGATGGGAGGTGCAATAGGGAGCCATCAAAGAGTTTAAACAAGGTGGTAACAGGATCAAATGTTAGTGTGAGGTTAACTGATTGAAAGGGGCTAAGAGTAGAGGTGGGAGGTCAATATGAAAGCTATTGGCAGTAGTGCAGGCAAAAGATGGTGTCTGGGACCAGAGCTGTGGTAATGGAGAGAATAGTGAAGAAAATTTTTAGAGAAAAATTTAGGAGGTAAAGTCAATAGAGCTTGATGATTGAATTTGTGATTTGAGTGAGGAGGAGAGTTGGATGGTTGCCATGTTCCCTAGCTTTAGCAGCTGGGTAAATGAGCAAGTGAAGAAATAGAAGAACAGGTGTGGCTGATAAATTCAGTTTTGGATAGGTGGAGTGTAAGGAACTTTGTCTTGTTGACTAAATGCCTGGTACCAACGATGGCTAGCTTACTTTATTTTTATTTTTTTTTATTTTTTATTTTTTGAGACAGAGTCTCACTTTGTTGCTCAGGCTAGAGTGAGTGCCGTGGCGGCAGCCTAGCTCACAGCAACCTCAAACTCCTGGGCTCAAGCAATCCTGCTGCCTCAGCCTCCTGAGTAGCTGGAACTACAAGCATGTGCCACCATGCCCGGCTAATTTTTTCTATGTATATTAGTTGGCCAATTAATTTCTTTCTATTTTTAGTAGAGACAGGGTCTCGCTCTTGCTCAGGCTGGTTTCGAACTCCTGACCGCGAGCAGTCCACCCACCTCAGCCTCCTAGAGTGCTAGGATTACAGGCGTGAGCCACTGTGCCCGGCCACTAGCTCAGTTTAGGTTCTCAATGTTCATTAAGTGGGTGAACATGGGTTATCCAAGTGCAAAATGATGAAATGAGTTGTTGATTATAACTCATGTGGAGCATAATGATTGAGACCTCTGTTTCTCCTTTACTTGAGGTTAATTAATCCCAACTCACTACTTTCCCTGGGATCAGGCTCCATCTTATAGACCTGTTTATAAAGGCTCACAACACAGGGAGTGTCAGTGATTGATTTGGGATGAATGCTGTTCTTGAACATGCCCATCTGGTTACCTCTTTTAGCAGGGGTTTCTTCCATGTTCAGTCTAGCAAGGTGAGCTTATTATTCTCTGCTCTGCTTTTCAAACAGGGAACCAGCATTTATTAGCTGTTTTCTTAGTTTTGTAGAAGTGATGCCTTATTGCAATTCTTAGTATCAGAGAATTTGAAGAGGAACACATGCCAATGATAGAAGAACTGTAAAATTTAGAGAGGCCTTTAGTATTCTCTCAATTTGGAATGCCCAGTTGTATTTCTTCATCAGGAAAGAGAAAAAATACTCTTCTAGGTCCAGCTGATAAAAGGTAGAATGACTCGCTCACTCCTTGGTATTCCCATCATCTCCATTGGAGTGTTTGCACTGAGCTATTCTCGCATACTCTGACAGTTACATGCCGTGCTCTCCCATTCTAAGTGACAGAGACGGTCCTGCTTATCTCTTTTCAAGGGCCCAATTAGCACTCAGCATGTATGACATTTAGAAAACATTTGTTCAGTTGAAATTGATTCATTTATGCACTCATCCATTCATTTAGGAAAGAGATGTGCTCCTTGACTAGAGGTGCTCACTGCCTTCCTCACAGAAGACAGTTGGAAGATTCTGGAGTCAGACAGATTGGGGCTCATTTGCTAGGTCTGCATCATATTAGCTGTGTGACCATGGCAAGACCTTTTCCTCTTAGCCTGTGTTCATTCAGTAGTGTAGTGAGATAACACCTCTACCTCAAGCACTGTGAGGATTGAGATAACATGTTAATTATGAAGTTCAGTGCCTGGCGAGTGGTAAATGCTTGATAAAAAAATGAATGTTTCCTTTTTCCTAATATGGGACTGAAATCTACTTTATAACTCTTTGCCTTTGACCCTAGTTCTGTCTTCTAGAACTTGTAATGCTGGCTTCTCTGTCACATATCCTTCACTCTTTGGAAGTAATGCTCATGTATAGTTTTCCTGTCCCTGTTGGTGGTTCTTTTCCTCCCCATCTCAGCTGATACCCTTCAGCTGTACTGGTTTCCAGATCCTCCCTGTTCTCGACCTCTTGGACCTACACTAGTTTGGTGGTGTCCTTGTTTATAGGTTAAGCTTCTCTCCCACAGGAACCCAATCATATTGTTGTGGAGCATTATTTGTAGCTGTTTCCCTAGTCCCTCCAAAGAGGACATCAACTTTTCTTGTTAACCTTTTGCTTCATAGAGGGTGCAGAAAATAGCTAAGTTTTTGTTTGTTTGTTCCTTTGTGCTACTGTTTAGCTAGGTCTCTCCTAGCCTTTGTCATTGATGTTTTAGAAACTGCCCCTGAGAAGGTTAGGGCTGTCCTCCCAACCCTCCCAGTTATCTCAGGCATCTTCTTATGAATCTGTTATTAATAAATATTTCCAAATTATTTTGGAAACTTTTAATATTTTCAGCCACTAGTATTTTTAGAGAGAAACCCATTTGTTGCCTGCCGAGTAGAGTAGCACTTGCGTTCCTTGGCTTTCAGATTTGTTCTGTACTTCAGGATATTCCGGTATTTTAGGATTTGATGATTAAGTCTTTTTACCTAGTGGTAAGAGTTAACTCTTGCATTCTAGTTTTGAATCCTTATTCAAAGTATTTATTCTGTCTGGGTTTCAGTTTTCACATCTTAAAAATTAGAATGTTAAATAATTTGTAAGATCCTTTCTAGCCTAGAAGGATGTTTTGTGCTTTTATAAACTTTCATCAGACATTACCTTTCCCTTACATGCCATTATTTTCAGACCGAAGAACTCTCCCCTCCTGTTTTTTATGGGGCAGAGCTTTTTGTCTTTATATTTCCTTTTTATCAAAAATTTCATTTACCTCTAAATTGGCTTGAAATTTATATTGGTTTTAAAGGTCTCCAGAAAAGATTACAGTAGCATAAACAGAAGCAAAGTTGCCTTCTGGTTCATGGTCCCTAACTCTCATCCTTGTAGGGTCATCAAGACTCCTGAAATAGCAAACTTGGCCTTGCTTGGCTTTGGAGATATCTTTGCCCTGCTGTTTGACAACCGCTACCTGTACATCATGGACTTGCGGACAGAGAGCCTGATTAGTCGCTGGCCTCTGCCAGAGTACAGGAAATCAAAGAGAGGCTCAAGCTTCCTGGCAGGCGAAGCGTCCTGGCTGAATGGACTCGATGGGCACAATGACACAGGCTTGGTCTTTGCCACCAGCATGCCTGACCACAGTATTCACCTGGTGTTGTGGAAGGAGCACGGCTGATGCCACGAGCCACCACCGCTGACTGACTTTGGGTGCCGGGGCTGCGGGTTTTGGGTGCAACCTCTGTGGCAGCCGACTGCATGAACCAAAGTTCTCGCCTAATGGTATCATCACGCAGTGCACAATCATTTATCTATGTTTGCCAGGGGGCCAGGGCTCGGGGTGGGGGAGGGCTTGTTTTATTGACATACAACGCAGCATGCTAATGGGGTACACCATTGACTTCATTTGTACTTAGTTATGTTGGTCATTATAAGAGGATGCATTTGGGGTTCATCTTTTTTGAGTGGAATATTGGTTTTAAGAAAGTTAAATGGTTCATTAATCTGCTAATTGGTTGCCTATAAAATCACATTCAGTCTGTTATTAAAGCTTTTTACCATAGCCTTTTTTTCTCATGAAGTTGAAGCAAAGGTGCTATGATGTCGTTACAGCAACTTCTCTCACATGGGGCTTAGCTTTTATAAGAGCCAGTGTTACAAAGACCATCTAGTCCTGTGACATTCATAAACTTTCCACCAAATACCAGTTCTAAAAAAGTCTGTCTTCCAGTGCAAATCTGATTCTATAAATTGACTGTTCACAACTCATCCTAAACCCTAGTTTTTGGCAGAGTTAAGGTTGGCCATGTTTAAGATGTGAAAGAGTTGTGTAGTTTTTGTTTCCATGTAGAGGAAACTGGTCCCCTGGTTGAATGCACAGAGGTGCCATGGTATAGCAGACAGAACTGAGCTGGAAGATGGGAGACTGGTTCCGTTACCTAGGAAATCTGCAACCTCTCTGGGCCCCAGTTTCTTTGACTGTACAATTAAACTAAGTGATTTCTAAGATCCCTTACAGTCCTGCTGCTGAAGTGTCCAAAGTTGATATTGTAGTTTTGTCTAACCCCTGATTCATTGTTTCTTTCAGGTTGGAGATAATATTTAAATGAAATCACTGATGCAAAGTTGTTATCTATAAGGAAGTCAGTTATATGAAAAGGATGGATAAAGGAGGAATGTAGAAAATGTAACTGATTCAATTTAGAAAATTTAAGTAATTTTTGGAAGAAATGCTGATAGGAGTCATGGTTCAGTAAGGAGGCAGTGTGTTAACAGTAGAAAGACACCTGAACCTGACTTATCTTCCTCCTTTCCCTCTAACTAACTTTCCCTCCCAAGATCATCATTTTCTTTGTCTGTAATATGAAGGAATTGTCCTAGATTAGGGCTCACAAACTGAATGTCTAAGGAAGCCATGCAGGGAACATGAATGAGTAAAACATGCTGGGCAGGATTGTGCTGACCCCTGGAGAGTTTATCTGCCAGGGCAATTACTCAGCTCTGAATGTTGTATCATTAGCAGGAACAAGCCCAATGTTGACAGGTATTCCGATTTTCTCAGGAGGAGCTAAAAATCCAAATTTTTATCCAAAATCCCTGATTTTTTAAATGTTACAGCTGATTGAAGATAATTTAAAATAAGGCGAGCTAAATAAAACATGTCCACAGTCTGCCAGTTTGTGTCCTCCACCCTCTCACTCTAAAGCTAGGTAATTCTGTGGTTCTCCAGTGAAAATGTTTTAACATAGTTATCACAAATATTAGGGAGAGAGTAGAGGGAGCAAGCAGTAGAAAAAGCTCAGCTGCTGTTCAGCTGTTTGTGCTTGTTACAGGGGGGAATGGGAAGGAGCATATTTCATTCACAGACCAATAGGAAAGTTGTTTGAAGATGAACATAAGAATTGGAACCTAAGTGGAAGCCTCTGCCTGGGCATGTGAGTTATTCCTTCTTGCTGACTCTAAAGCATATCCATTTTACAGGTAGGAAAAAAGAGTACTGGCAGCTCTTCCAGAATCTGCATTAACTTAGAGTCTGAGAGTGGTCCTTTGAATGATGTGAAGTTAGTGAAAAATCAGTGGTTAGTTTCAAGGACAAGTATAGTTAATATATCCATGTTGAAACTCCAAAAGGAAGAATTAAGTAAACGATCAATATCTTCCTCCATCCCCCCCAAATCTGGGTTTAAACCATCTCATGTTGAGGTCTGTGCATGAGCTCTGCCTAGTCCTAGAAATAGAACCAGAATTGCAGCTGGAATCTGTTTTGCAGGAGGGTCAGGAGACTTGGGCAATGATGAGGGCAAATAACTTTTTCCTTTTCACCCATCCTGAGCAAATAACTGAGATTACTGATCTAATGACCATCCCTACACCCTAACTCACTTTCAGATAGCTTCAAAGGGCAAATAATTTTAGTCATTAGTGGAGAAAGTTTTATTAAAAGTGACTGAGGCAAAACTTGTATGGTATGTCCCATTTCAGTTTTGGGTGGTGAATACAGAAATTGTCATCCGGGCGGTGCTCAGTGCCACTGGATTTTGACATCTGTACTTGCTACAGTAGCTGGAGTCCTAACTACGATTCCTCCGCACGGATGCCTTCATTTCACCTGAGCATTTTACTTAACTGCTTTATAGATAGTGGATTTATTTGTATGGTTCCCAGTGTTTATAAAAAATGGAAAACTAGCTTATCCTTCATACAAAATAAAGCAAAATGGGGAGTCAGAGAGAGGACCAGATAGGGGATAACTGAAGCTGTGGTTCCTTGGTTTCCTTAGTCTCATTTCATTGAGTCCGAGGGTATTTTGTGTACACACTGATGTTGGCTTTCTTAGCATAGAGGTGAGGGTATTGCCTTTCTCTCTCTTGTGGGTATTCTCATGTCTGAAAAATTTTAAGTCATGAGTGGACAGACCTCATCCTTTTTTATGAGGGTTGGATTTCTTGGGTGACACTGTTGTGTGCTGGAAGCAAAGGGCTTCTCTCCTCTCAGGTTTATAAAGGGTATCATAACGACTTGAGTCTCCAACATGGGGACAGGGATCCAGGCGAGCTGAGTGGATGTGTGAGGGTTTTAGAGACTCTGTTCCCGTTCTAAAGGAACCTAGTTTCCTACAGCTCCATTATTGGAAGTAATAAATGTTGTCAAATCTGACTCTAACCTGACATTTTAGACCTATCAGGGAAATAAGGACCCTCCAATGGAAGGGCTAGATTGACTTTGAAGAAGTTCCACAGGAGGGCGCATGTATTTCGATAGCTTTTCAAAAGTGGCACGTGGGGAGTATTGCTATTTTAAGGTTTGCACTTCATTTTTCTTAATTAAATAATTACTCTTCTGGCCACTGAAAACTCTTGGTAAAGTTGGAATAAGGATAAGATAATCTAGTATTTGCTCGCAGGAGAATGATTACTGCTCTCCATTTGTAAAACAGGGAGAAAACAAATATCTTTGGAAATAGTATTATTTTAGACATGAAGAAATTGTTTCTGTTAGGGTAGGCATTTTGACCTAACAGAGCAGTTGAGGAACCTGGCTTTGCACATTGCTTTGGCCAAACCCAGCCAGCAACTTGAAGTCATTGTGTGTCCTGGGAGCGTAGAGGTGAATCTTCCCACCATCGCTCTTAAACCTTTCTGTGCCTCCTCCTCTGGGCCTTGGTGTATGAACCACTTGCCTTTTTCTGTAGGGAAGTGAGCAGAATCAGATCATAACCCACAGATGCAGTCTGGGGCAGGGCACACCGTCACTTTTGCTTGTAGGAGCACAGAGTTATCAGGATAGGGTAGAAGCCCTTTAGGTCTGTCCCCTCGACACCGCCTTCCTACCTGGTTTTGCTGGTACTTTTGCCAAGATGTTTAAGACAACCAAGACACTTGAGAATTGCAGTCACCAGATAGAGATGAAAAGAACAGGTTAGCATCCTTGACAGAATGCCTACTGGCCATCTTTGGCAGTGTCTCTGATCAGAGGTTCCCCAGGCCTGCTCTAGGAAAGTGAAAAATTTTCAGAATAAATCCTCAGATGGATTACTGGGTAGTCTTTACGCTACTCCCATCAGCCTAATTAGCTGAATGATCATGCTCAGTGCAAAAAGGTGTCTTCTTGTCAAGTTATTTTGATGTTTCCTGTCTTTCCTGGTACAATTCAATTCAGTTGTTTAAAGTTAGTATTTCAGTCTTGACCATTGTAAACCCACTTAATTATTGCAGGCTAAAGAATCTAGCTACTTAAACTCATCATTAATGTGCCCAAATAATGTGTTTTTGTATATTCGATCCTGGCAAATTATTAATTCAGATGATAAAAGCTCATAATTTTTTGGTATCCTTATGCTCGCATTGTGAACAAACATATTTTGCTAATTTAGACTTTGCACTCTTGATGAGAATGCTGAGGTTGAAAAAGGCAGGTCTCCCACCAATCCAGCATCTATAGCAACATGGTAAAAGTCATCAACTCATGTTTGATTAATTTGATACGTGTTGTGATCTAGAGGGAATGAGATAAAATTTATATTTGAACTGTGTGGGGTGGGGGGAACAAGGGATTACTTAAGCAAATAGTGGAGTGATATGGAACAGGATGTCTCTATAAGATGAGAAGTTATTTTCTTGCATAATAGAATCATTCTTTTGCCCATGAGTGATTGTGCTAACTATAAATCATTTATATCTACACATTAAAGTGGATTCTCTCTCAATTAGGCAACATTTAGTTAGCCAGGCCCAAGTTATTGTTTGTACTTGAAAGTAATAAAGCTGCATTTCCTTAAAAATATGTTCTGTAGTTAAGACTTTTTCTTGCTTTTTCCCCCCATGGAATTCAGACATTTTTTTTTCCCCCATCCAAATCAGGGACTTTTCAAAAGTGAGTGTGTTTAAGATGTGTTTTTAGAAATAGAACTGCCCCTCCAGTGATCTGAAGTGGTTTTGTGCTTTTACTGTTTCTGCATATTCTAGGATGTAAACTCAACAATATAACAGTTTTTCAAGGCGATCCAAAGGAAAAACAGTAAATTTAAAAGTAGAACAAAAGGAAGGAGTTTTGGTGACCTTTATGAACAGATGCAAATGGGAGAAGGGGGGCTGCCTAAAAGCCGCCTCCCTTGCCCCCATTTTACTGGTTCTAGACCTTGGAATCCTCTTCCTCATCTCTTGCCCTCCTCTTATCCAGCACATCCTCACATGTGGTCATTCTTCTTTATTTAAACATGTAGAGTTCCTTGTCATTCGCTTAACATGGCCCTGTACCATTGATCCCCTGACAGCACTGTTTATGTGCGGGATAGATTGTCATTCCTGTTTTACAGACAAGAAAGCTGAGCCTTCGAAAAGTAATTAATTGCTTAGAGGAGTAGTAAGTGGTAGTGTTGAAGCCTTGATTTTTGGCCTCCACAGTCCTGGATTTTTTTTTTTACCTTTTTTCCTTTTTCATTTTCTCCCTATTTCAAGTTTCTTCAGTTCAAAACTAAACTGCTGCCTTTCCCTTTTGCCACCTGTGTGCACCTTCCAACGTGCCTTATGCTTTGTGTCCAGGCGGTCCCCCTATGTTCCTTTGAGCACTTGGCTTTCTCTTGTTCAAACAACCTCAGTGACTACCTGTCACCAACAGGATGTGTCTAGATTCCTTAACATAATGGAGCCCCAATTCATCTCTTCAAGCAAACAATTCTTGCTATTCTGTTTCTGCCCTTGCACTCTGGGTCTTATTCTCCCTATCCTCATAGGAAATCTATGTGTTCCTTTCCACCAGTCCTGGGGCCAGGCCATGAGATCCTGTTGACCTCTCACTGTCTGTAAAACCTATGCTGACCACTATCCCCCACTTAGCCTGACCGAGCATTTTTGTTTCAAGTAGTTAGTTGTGCAGTTCGTTTGGCAATAAATCACGTAGTACCTTTTGTAGTAACTTTTGATCCATAAATTTTTCAAAATTCAGGTGAATTACCTTGTCTCTAGCAACATTGTATGATTGAGAGTAGGAACTTGATGCTCACTAAGTTCTTGAAATTTAAATAAAGCTCATGGATTATTTTAAGGACTATTTTAAGGATTATCTTAAGGAAGAAAAATAACAGAATATGAGAGCATTGAAAACTCAGAATAAGATATCAGAAGCAAAACGGAAGACCAATTCCACACAGCTCTTCCTCTCTTAGACTTCCCTGTTCTGCCATATCCTATAAGCATCCAAAGTGTTCTGGGTACATTTGAACAGAATATTTGATGATTACACTGTGATTAGACATGAGTAGTTCTTGCCAGTGTCCCTGTCCTTTGCATTTTAACTACTTGTTCTGTGCTCTTTGTGGTAAAGGTAATATATAATAAAAACTCGTGGAGAAAATGATCCAGAGATCCTTTATCATTATGATCTTTAATATTCTCTTCTAATCCTTAGGCATATGTATATAGCTAAGCCATTGCAAATCATTATTTTGGAGTATGCTGTCAGAAATGCACTTTTAAGTCTTCACAACCACCATAATATTTTGTAATTTTCCTTTATTTCTCTAATTTGTAAAACATTCCTATTTTTGTGGATAATTAGGTAGTTTTCCAGTTTTGCTTTGTAGATAATGCTGCAGAGAAGTTCTTTGTGCATATTTCCTTAGAACAAGTTCTCAATAGAAGATTTATGAGTAAAAACAAATTTTTTTCTTAACATTTTTTGTTATGGACAGTAAATAGTGCATAAAACACAATTTTGTCAAATAGTTCTAGAGTGAACACCTGTCTAACCACTGCCTAAGAAGGAATATTTCTGAACATATTTGCCAATTTAGTAGGTATAAAGAAGGCAAGGTTACTTTAATTGACACTTCTTTAACATTTGAAGATACGTTTTTACATGTGCTTGTTTGTGTTTCTTTTGGATTCTTCTGCATCTTTTATCCATTTATTTTTATTACATTTCCAAATACTTGTGAAAACATTGGTTGGGATGAATTATGGTCATAAATAAAATTTCATAAATGTAGTTATCACTAATTTAGATATAATGGTTCAACCCAAGGCATGCATTGAAGTTTTCTTTCATTACATAAAAAGGATTTGTGTGAAGTAAACCTATGAATATTTGCTATTTACTTACCATTGATTAATGTGATGTATCACAAATTATGCATTATCTATTACAGTAGATCTAATAATACCCAGTACCAAAGAATAGAGCTGTCAACAATACTATTTAAAGGAAAATAGGAGAAGTCATAAGTCAAAATGTTTTTTCCCAAAATTAACTGTATGTGAAATGTATTGAATTTTACAATGAGAAATTCAGAAAGCAATCAGTGCAGATTCAGAAGGCAACCAAGAATGTGGTAATCCTGGTGTTTTATTTTTACTTAATGCAGACTCAGGGAGGGTGTTGTCAGATGTACTTTTATATCTCAGGCCTCTAACTTCAGAGGAGATTTCCCATCTGAAGGTTTTCACAAGCTAGCAAGCATTCTTGAGTTTGTTAGTTTAGCAGATTTAGCCACATAAGGTGACTCTTGAGCTAGTTGATCATTCAAGCTTTAAGGGCACAAGGTTTGAACTCTGAGAGGGGATCAGAAAAAATTAACACTGTAAGTCTGTGTGTCAGAAGAAATGTGAGAGGTAGAAATATTAGACTGAGTTATTTTTTTCAGTTTTCTTCTTCCCCACCAGACTATGTCTTGAGAACAAGAACTGTGTCTTATTCTTTCTTGTGTCCATATCATCTAGAACTGGTACAATGTAAATTCTGGAGGAGGGCTTGGTTAGATGTGTGGTCTAACACATCTAGAGCCAATGGCCAATGGAGACCACCTTGGGTTGGTCTCCATTGGCTTCCTGTAATACAGTGTTCTCAAACTGTAATTCCCTCTAGCACATCAGCATCACCTGAAACTTGTTTGAAATGCAAATTATTGGGCCCCACCCCAGACCCAAACTGTAAGGCTGGAGCACCACTTTGGCGATGGCCACTAAGGGTGAGAAACATTGCTATTATCTAACCTGTTCTGCCACCTAGTGGAAATTTTGGGAGTTGCATCTGGTAATGAGTTGGGGCCAGATTCTGTTGCTGTTGTATACATTAATTATACCAAGGACCACCTTGTATCTAAGGTTACAGCCCATTCTGAATGTGTTCTATACTTGCCTCCTATGTTATTTCTAGTTATCATAGGGCATGTCATCAAGACATCAGCATGCAGTCTGAGTAAACCTGTCCTTACTGTTTTAGAAATGCCTTTAATTTGGTGTTGAAATTGCTTTTATCACTCTCTGGAATAATACACAGCTATTAAACAATGACACTACAGAGTAAGCACATAGGGAAATGCAAAAACATAAGTGGGAAAAACATGATTAAAAATGGTATACAGGATGATTCAAATTAAATGGCTTAAATATACATAAGAACAAAATGAAATGAAATACGTCAAAGTGATAATAGTGGCACTTTGTGACACTGAGGCTGGAGTATCACTTGAGGCCAGGAATTTGAGACCAGCCTGGGCAACATAGTGAGACCCTACCTCTACAAAAAAACTTAAAAACTTAACCAGGTAAGGTGGCATGCACCTATAGTCCCAGATGCTCTAGAGGTTGAAGTGGGAGGATTGCTTGAGGCAAGGAGTTTGAAGTTATGGTGAGCTATAATAACAGTTATCTCTTAAGGATGAGATAGGTAAATATTTTCTATATGCTTTTTTGGTATTTTCTAAGTTTCCTATAATGATCATGAATTTTTAAGAATCATTAATATTATACAGCTGTAGGCATCTTTTAGCCCAAATTCCCTCTTTCAGGAAATATTAATGTTAGGTCCCTACTCTGTATGAGGCATTGTGCTAGCAGGGCCACAGGTTCCCCACGCCTGTTAGGGCCTAGGGATATAGAGATGGATTGTATATGGCAGGCGTCCTCAAACTGCAGCCCACCGAGGACATGTACCGGCCTGCTGGATGTTTTTGCCGCCTCTGCCTGTCCTGCTTAGCAGCCAATTCGTCCCGGGCCCACGGTGTGCGTGTGTGGAATGTGCGCCGCGTTCTCCAACGGCCCTCCAACGGTCTGAGGAACAGTGAACTGGCCCCCTGTTTAAAAAGTTTGAGGACCCCTGGTATATGGTGTCTGTCGCTGGAAGCGCATGGTTCTCTGGGATGGTACACACACGGAACCCAAGAGGTATAATGAAGGAAGCACAAAGATGGGAGTTCTACTTAGGGTTAATAACCAAGGATTCATAGAGGAAGTAATCCCCCATAAGTTCCTAAGCTGATAGTAGGATTCTAGATACAGACATCCTGTAAATTGCTAGTCTTTATTAGCTGGTCCTAGGTTGCAAACAAACCTAGATGCGTGATTGGTGGGACTGTATCACTCATGATAATGTTGATAGTGTCTTATTAGGGACATATAAGACACTACCAGAATTTGAAGACAAAATCATTAAACAACTGAAATTCAACATGAAAGGAACAGGATGCTGGTGGCGGCAGCATGGTTCTTCCGTTTCGCTGAATCCCCACATAAAAATAGCAACTAAATAGCAAAACCAAAAGCCAATACTTACAACAAAACTCGATGACAGAGTAACCCATAGAACCCCTAAAATAAAGTGGGTGGCTCCACTGCCACAAGAGCAACACTTGTGTTAGAGGAAAAGAAAGGCAGACACAGGGATAGTAACTGATGGGCCTGAGAATGGGAGACCCCAAAATAGGCAATAGGTGGTCACTGAAGAGCTGAGCGGCCAATCTGATAATGTGAGCTGAAGCTGGGAGAGGTTCTGTCCTCTCCGGCAGT